AGTTTGTTCCAGCCATTTCATCAACTGTCGTGAGCCCAGTTAGGGTGCCCTCCACAAGGAGCATCTCTATGAGAGACATTATTGGTCGCAAGAGCACTAAAAACCCGAACCTTACGTGCCAGTGGGACTCGTGTTGTACCGCAGTGGTCAAAACGTGACCACATGACCCTCGCACATCCGCGTCCACATCCCCCTGAAGCCTCACAAGTGTGAGTTCTGCGGCAAGTCCTTCAAGCGTCCTCAGGACTTGAAGAAGCATGTCAAGACCCACGCCGACGACTCTGTCCTCATCCGCTCACCTCAGGATCAGGCCAGCAAAGGTATGTTTTCTAACATGCTACCCCTTTCCCCTCTCCCAGGCGCTTCAAGACCTCTTCCAAACAGAGGCTAATTTTGCCTCCCAGCTTCTTCTAGCTACTATGACCATAATAGCCACAATCAAACTAACTCGGCCGCCTTCTCTCATCAGGACTATAGACTTGCTAGCGACTCTGGCAGTGGTGCCCCGACACTGTCTCACTCCCTCGGATTGTACTACGCACCCACCCGTGGCCCTCAGTATCTCGGCCACCACGCCGCGGCTGGCGGCTTCGACACTCGCAAACGCGTCTACGACATGGTTGATGACTTCTTCGCCAGCGCCAAGCACCACCACGTGGACCCCTCTTCTTACTCTAGAGTCAGTCGTTCTCTAATGCCTCTTCACGAGGCTCTCACTCTACAGACCGGCGACCCCATACCCACTACCGAGCACATAGCTTGCCCTCAGCACCCCGGTCCCAATATCGGTGTGGGCGCTGCCCCCAGCGGCCCTGATCCTTTTTTTTTTTGCAGTACTACTTGCCACCCATGTTCAACACGCGCACCAAGAACGACCTCTTCCAGATCGACCAGATCCTCGACCAGATGCAGAGCACCGTGTTCGAGAACGCCAATTCGGCCACCCACGGGATCCATGCCCGCGGCCAGATCATGTTTGAGTACCGCCACAACCCCTCTTCCCCCGGCGTGGGCCACCGCGGCAGCGCCGGCACCACCCCCATGTCCCAGGACGACTACGCCGCCGACTCCGACACCCATATAGCCTTCCCGCAGGCCGCCATCTCCTCCACCGGAACCCCGGCCATAACCCCTCCCTCCAGCAACACATCCTACGCCTCCGGACAGTCCCCGAGCCTCTCTTCCTCCGACATGTCTCCCCACAGCACCGCCACGTCCGTCATGTACCCCAACCTCCCCGTCGTCAGTTCCGTCTTCCCCGGCCAGTCCACCACCCCGACCCTAGGAACCAACTTCGACAACAACCAGCGCCGCAACTACGGCGGTGGCATGCTCCAGCGGGCCAGCTCTGCGTCCGTCCGCCATCGCTCCGATACCTCCACCGTCACCCAGGTCATGTCGAAGGGCACCCCCGCCTCCCTCGGCTCTCCCCCGTCCGAGTCGGACATGAGCGAGAGGGCTTGTAAGCGCGAGGAGAGGTACGACCAGTGCGTAAAGAATATGCGCACCATCGATGCCCTGCGTGAGTACATCCGCGAGCGCATCGCCCGCAAGGACTTTGATGAGAAGACCGACGAGCGCGATGAGCGCCGGCATTCCCCCGATGCCATGAACGTCGACTCGCGCAGGATCACCTCGGCGGAGACTTCAGCCACTCCCCCGGCACCTGCAGCTCTTCTGTATCCCATCCTGCGACTTTCAAACTAAGCCTGGCGGTGACCGGATGGTGTGATTGGACTGTATATTATTCATGCTCATAGGGGTGAGTCACGTAAGCTGGACACCTGTAGTGTCCGTGGTGTTTTGTGGCGCATGCCTGAGATGGGCCGGAGCGCATACCGCACTGATGAATTGGCTCTTGTTTTCTTCTTTCTTCTTCCTCTTTCTTGTCTGATGTGATTATGGGTTCTTCTCCATGTACGCCATAAGCCAGTGAACACATAAGCGAGTGAGACACTCCATCGCACTTCCCAATCTTCCGTTCTCAACCACGTTTCTCTCCACGACTAGTCATGGAGACTCCTTTTAAAGAAGCCCAATTAATTGTTACCATCGAATCTATCAAAATTATACCGAGTTATGCGTTCGGAGTTCTGCGAAGACCTACAGCGTGAGTCATGTGACGTTGGGCCGGCGATCGAAGGGATTTACCTCCCGACGTTGCAGTTCCCCCGATTCTAGAATTTCAACCTCCTTAGTCAAGCAGACAATCGTTGACCGTGTTTGGGACCTTCAGGTTGAGGTCCGTTCATCTAACCAATGTTAGTACAGTAATGTAACTAGGCTGCACCTGACAGGAAGCGGGACACAGCTTGCACGCGCCGTGCTGCAGTCTGGGAAGTGCGAGAATCCGGGATCGCCCCATTGCAGGACCGCATGTGATCTTACCAATACTCGACCAATGCGCTGACATATTATGAGCATACAGCCAGGTCCATTTCCCCGTCACCGAGACGCCTCCAGAGGCGGAGATTAAGGTAGCTCTTGTTCGGCCCTATTGCGGCGCAGAACAGCCATCGCCGTCTATGGGCCCTCCATTGAATAAACGCAGCTCTCTTGACTAACCCTCGGCTGCAGGCACGGAAGTAGGAGCTGGTGCTTGGCCGCTTGGCAAGAGGGGATCCAACAACCTGTACTCTGCGAGCCCATAGGCCAGCCTGCTTCCTCGCCACTCTTTGCCTTCATCTCTTAAGGAGCCCAACGCTCCTGCTCCTCCCCGAATCTGGGGCAGAGGCAATTGCACTTGGGAAATAGGTCTTGACAAATGGCTCTAATCGTAGTCTGTGTACTAAGTGTTTGATCCCTCCGGGCTATGCACCCGCGATGGAATCATGACACCAGAGTATTCAGCGCAATCCAGACAGGTCCACGGAACAACTACGTTGCACACGCGGCGTAAGTCACGCTATTGTACCGTCTTCCTGTCTCTGTTCATTGCTAAGCTCGTGCCAGAATACGAGCTTTCAACGTTCGAGGCAGGGTTGTTGTTCCACCTGTCAGTCGCTCCTTCTCTTCGATAAGCCTTCTTCACGTCCCATTCACTTCCCGCTCAAGACACGACCCAAGACACGACCCAAGACCCTGCCACCTCGCACATGAAGACTTGCTCTATCCGAGGATCAACCACGGCTGGCCGCACGGTATGAACGGCTGGGAGGCCTTTGCAAGTCGCACACCTGAACGATAGGGCAACATGGAGTGGGGAGTGTCAGGAGCATGCAAGGATGGCGAACCTTGCGACTGGTCACTAGCCCGTCCTCCTAAGCGGATGCCTCGTGTCTGACCTTCCTTTAAAGTGAAAAAAGCCAACGCCACCAGTGGTGATACCGCGTCTTGGCGGCATACGTACCTCATGCTTACCGCCCCACATCCGCCAACGAGCTGCCGTGAGTTACTTGGCACCCTGCTCTCGCTCACCGAAGCCCTCGAGATCGCCACCTGATGATTCAAGACATGACATGGAGTCCGGCCCCCCTATCGTGCCGCCTGGGGTTGTCAAAATTGTAATTGGCTCTCGGGGCCACTTGCCATAGTTGTCGAGCTCCATCCAGTTCCAGTCCTGGCCCTATCTTTGGTGGGTGTCATAACATGTAGGCCCTGGGCAAGAGGGATCACTACTCTCGAGGGCCGGCATCTTGACGCACATATGTACAGCTCCTTGGCTAATATCGCCTCTTGAGTTCCTGCCGTATTTTTCTCCTTCTACTCACTGCCTACTTGGTCGTGTCATTCTTCGTTCCAGGTCAACACCGCACGTATTTCCGCCGCCCTTAATCCACGAGCGATATTCCCCAAGGCCGACTGCAGTTAAGACTACCATGGGAGTCGATGACGAAAAGAGAATCATGGACTCAAACAACCACATGGTCAAGGATAGCTCTTCCTACGACCAGCCGCCCCTTCCGCAGCCCTCTGACACTGTCTCCGCCGAGGTTGAGCCAGTCAAGAAGCCATGGTGGCACTCAGTCATCGAACCCGGCTCGGCCACCCAGATTATCATCGCTGCCAGCCTCGCCATCGGCATCGGTCTGGGTGTCTCTGCCGCTATTGGCACCGACAACATCCCGCCGGCTGCTCCCGTCATTCTCGGCATCCCCGGTACCCTCTGGCTCCGTGCCCTGCGTGCCACTGGTGCGTTGCCTCCCACTTAGACACCACCGTCGTCTTCCATGCTGACAAGATTGATCCAGTTCTTCCCATGATTGTCTGCGCGATGATTCTTGCAATTCAGCGACTGCGCGAGGTCTCCAAGGGTGCTGCCGTTCTCGCTAGGTGGACAATCCTCTACTATGTTCTCACGACCATTCTCTCTATTGCCTTCTCAATCATCATGACCTCTCAGATCTGGGAGCCCATGATGGAGAACGCAGCCACGGAAGAGGGCTCCTCGGAGCTCGAGGAGAAGAAGCCCCACGAGATTGTGTCCACACTTTTCAATACTCTCATCCCCCAAAACATCGTCTATGCTCTGGCCAACGACGAACTTCTCGCCATCCTCGTTACCTCGATCGTCGTCGGTTACCTCATTAAGAACCCTGCAACCTCCGCCATCCTTCGTGCCGTCGTTGAGATCGAGGCCATAATTACCACAGTCATCACCTTCCTTATCAAGCTGGCCCCCATAGGTGTCTTTTTCCTGATTCTTCCCAACCTTTTCAGGCTCGACATCTCCAGCGTCGGCACGAACCTTGGCATCCTCATCGGTGGATCCGTCAGCTCCATGATGATCCATCTCTGGGTCATCCTGCCCATTTTGTTCTTCGGCTTCACTCAAAAGAACCCCTACACTTACTGGGGCAAGTCGTCTGCCTCATGGCTTACTGCTTGGGGTACCGCTTCTTCGGCCGCCACCCTGCCTGTCACTCTGCGTGTCGTGCGCGAGCGCGGCGTCCCAAACACTGTAACCAAGTTTGTCGTTCCCCTCGGTTGTCTGATCAACATGGACGGTACCTCCATCTACTTTCCCGTCGTATGTGTCTTCATGGCTGCCACACAGGGTATCAAACTTGACGCCGGCCAGTACATCATGATTCTCCTGCTCTCCACCCTCTCGGCCATCGGAACCACGCCCATCCCCTCGTCCTCTCTGGTTCTCACCCTCATGATCACCTCGTCCGTCGGCATTCCCGAGACTGACATGTTCGCTGTCGTCGTTGCTATTGATTGGTTCATCGACCGTTTCCGCACCATGGTGAACGTCTCGGGCGATATCTTTGCCGCCGGTATCATAGCCAAGATGACAGGCGTTACCGATCCTGAGGACCTTACGGACGAGGACCTCATCGCCCAGCGCAGCAGCGCAGTCAACGACAACGTCGACCGTGTTTAGCGGACATGGTTGGGCCTTGGTGGACAGTGGAGCGTTTTGTAGGAACAAACATAAGCCGTTCAGCGCGATGCCGCCTCCATCGTGACAAGAACTGCCGAGGCCACCCAGTTTGGGCACCGCTATGAAGAGTCTGGTGAAAACAGGATCGATATTTCTCCGGGGGGTCCTGATTGCACGATAACCTACCTCACTTCCAGACCACAAAATCCCGACCACTTGCGATACAGTGATAGGTTGTCCACCCAACTTTGAATGACGCCGATAACGTTGCCTCTTATGTGCTACAAAGGTCTCTCAACTACGCTCAGTTCGGCGCCCTCCTGCAGCACTGTGGTACAAGCTAACCTGTGAACAGCACATCCTGCAACTTTGACGTAGCTTGGCGCGGAATGAACATCTCAATTTTGCCCCATAGTACAGGCTTTTCACACATGGGCTGAAATCAGGGGCTGTAGATGGAGTCAAACGGGGCCAGATGACTTGGATTGAAACCTTAACGAGAACCTCGCAGATCTAAATCGTATCTAGTCTGGAGATTACTTACTTTCCAGGGGCTGTGTAGTCCCATTGCCGATTCCCAATCTTCATATATGGGACTCTGGCTGTCATCGACATAGTACGAATGCTGGCACTTTGTACGCTTTAGCCTTTTAGATTTAGCTCAACCACTTTTGCACAGTACGCGGAGGCGTCGGGAGAGCAAGCTCAAGTTCAGCCAAAGCATGAGACCTGGTTAGTGCGCTCTGCCAAGCCAGCCCTCCTGAGCCCCTTAAGCTGCTTGGCACTTTATGGTGCTACAGCCGTGAAGTACCAACAAGATGATTGGGTGCAGCTTCTCAAGAAGCTTCGAAGGAAGGTGATGAGCAGCGAATACCAAGACATGCCAAGATACCAATTAGGCAGGCAGGGCAGGAATGCATCTCATGATATACGCAAGTCGCCACCCCCGCATGACCCGTCAGACGCCACAAATTGTGAACACAGACGCTCGTGCCATCCCTTTAACGCAGGAATTTGGCCTCAGTACTTCGGAGCCAAGACAATCCGACGGCAGAAAAATGCAGCGACCAATTGAATTCATCGCCGCAGCCCCACAGTACATACAAAATTAGCTGTGGTACCGGTCCCAGCAATGTTGGGTATTGCACAGAGGCACATCGCATGTCTCGCACGCAAAACGTGTTTTTGGGGCCCGTGAATTGCCTGAAATCGCTCCTAAGGCGCGTCTTTTTGGTGAGCTGATCGAGCGGCCGGTACAGGCGTAACAGCGTCGTTGAGGGCATTTGCCTACGCGTTTATGCTCCTCGAGAGGTACCGTTGTTGCTTCAGGCTCGTGGCGTGGACGCCCTCGAGTTTTGCGACTATTCCCGGTATCCTTATGCCTATCGAAGATCGAGGCACAAAGCTGACGAATCCACTGGCTTTCAGAAGAGGCTCTTGGGTAGAGAATACGGCCTGGATATTCTCTCTGCAAAAGAAAGGTATTCGCAACAACCGTGCCGAGCAGGAAGCTATACATCAGCGCCTGCCACCCTCCCCGGCGCGCGCGGCGTTCCCACTCGCAGTTTGAACGCAGTTGATCGTGCGTATCAACGCCTCCCTTCTGCGTATTGTATTGGGCAGCAAATTGGGGGTGTGGAAGCTCTTTTTCGTATTCAAAATCGTCGTTATTCCTGCCGGTTGATGATCCTGGGATGAGTCGGAAGGGTTCTCTTGCAGTCTTTGCGCAGGTAGCAGACTTCTTTGGTAAGCGTCGTCGCATAGGCGTTTCGCGCTCTCGACCACTATAAAGGGTACTCTGGAATAGCGTAAATGCGAGATCCTTCCATAGAAACTGCTGTACCTGACCGTCAGCTATTGTAGCGATCAAGAGCGTACCCCAGGGGACTTTATCGCCCCTATCAGCAGTACGTTCGCGTAGGAGGTATTGAGCAACGCCTGCGTTCGATCGGCAGGTACCTGTTGCAGCAAATCCCTCAGAACGTAGTTGTTGTAGGAGAGCAGGGCTTGTGAAGAGGTTATCGAGAATAACGTGATATCGGGGGCGCTGTTGGTTGCGAGGTAGGCGCCGCAGGAGGTCCGGAACAACTTGCTGGGTCTTATTCAATCCACTCAAGGGGGGATAGAGTAGGATGGGTCCTTTGCCGCGCTGGTGGTAGCAAAACGCCAGAAGGAAGCCTTCGTCGGCGAGGCCCCAGATCTTGTATCCTGTAGGCGTTGGTTTTGAGGGTATTGTCGTAATATCGCGGGATCTGCCTGTATATCGCACCATTCCCTCGTCGATAGTAACAGTCCAAGAGGGATACCAATAGGCAAGAGACGTTATCTGTATATGCGTTGACCAGGCCTCGAGGCGCGAGAAAACAGCTCTATCAGAGGTCTTATCGAGCGTATCTGGGTCCCAGATACGGAAGCGACGAAACAGGTCCTCAAAGCGCTCAAGGGATACCCACTGCGTAAAGGGGTGGATTGAGGAGTGTTCTGCTGTTGCCCAATAGTCGCGAATCCGTGGCTCAACTGTCACTCGCATAAAGAGAAGAATACCTAAGAATAGGTATAGTTCTGGTACTGTTGTAGGGTCCCAATCTCTTTGGCGTTGTGAATAGCCTGCAGGCGTATCGCTATTGACGTACTTCACCCACTGCGATACTAGGGTAGGGGGCACGAACGCCTCGAAGAGCTCTAGAGGGGTAGGCGGCAGAGCCTTCGGGAAGTCACGCCAAAAGCGAGGAACGAAGAGGGGTCTGAATTCAGCATCTGATGGAGGTACTGGTGAGGCCTCTGGGCGCCTTGTACCTGTATCGCCGAGCTCAGCGATACTTGACTCCATTGAGAGGTCAAAAAACGGTTGATATCGTGATATTGGTGGTGGTGGTGGAGGCTCTTGAATTCGGTGACGTAAGTGTAGGTAATTAGGAGGGTTTTGGTATCTGCGCGGGGAGGCAACGTACCTGGGGAGATTATGAACCTAACCGGATTAGGAAGGCGGTATGGCCTTGAAGTACTGAGGCCAAATTCCTGCGTTAAAGGGATGAGAAGCCCAGCATTGCTCGACAAGCTGACTATCACTCGGCACGTCTCCAGTGGATAACGTCCCTACCTGATGTAACCTTCTGTTGTCGGCACACCATACCATCGGGAAGGCCGACAAGGGCAAGTCTCATACCGTCCCGCCTCTGCGCTTATATACGAGCCCTCACACGGGCCGCCCTGCTCCTGACTGACACTGCCTTCCAGTCCTACGATCCCACGACCAGCCGCTTCTTCGACTCACACTTGCGATTCAGGTCCAATCCCCAACTTTTCTCCACAGTCATGGGTGCCGTTCGGAAAGTCTTCGACTTTCTCGCCCCCCAAGCGAAAAAGGGTGATGATGGTCGCGATGTCTTCGGGTCGCGCCTGACCTTCATTCTTTGCGCCATGGGCGGCGCTGTCGGTCTCGGTAACCTCCTCCGCTTCCCATCCATCGTGTACAACAACTACGGCGCTCAGTTCTTCATTCCTTACTTCATCGCTCTCGTCTTCATCGCCTTGCCTGTCCTCGTCCTGGAGATCGCCATTGGTACCGTCTATCGCTCAGGATGCGTCGTCGCTTGGTCCCACATCCACAAACGCACCCGTGGCGTCGGCTTGGCTGTAGTCTTCAACGGATACGCAGTTGTCACCTACTACGTGCCCCTCCTTGCCTGGGTCATGAAGTACTTCAGACTTTCTTTCCAAAACCCTCTACCCTGGAGTGGCAAAGACACTTCGGAATATTTCGCCAATGAGGTCGTGCATTTCGTCGGCCCAGAAGGCGGGTCGTACAACCCTGACGGTTCCGTTGCCGAGTACATGACCTGGCCCGGCACCGCTCTCGTCGGCGAAACTGCAGGCTGGGCCATCTTCACCTGGTTCGTGACCTGGCTCTGCCTGTTCAGGGGCGTCGGTCTGACGGGCCGTGTTATCTACATCACCATGGCTCTTCCTTTGGTTCTAATCATTGTGCTGGTCGGTCGCTCCGCCTCGCTCCCGAATGCCGGCGATGGCATCAAGCTGTACTTCGGCACGTGGCGCTCGGAGGCACTCGCCGCCCCCGGCATCTGGCAAGATGCCTTTGGCCAGATCTTCTTCTCCATTGGTGTTGGCTTCGGTTACTTCACATCTTGGGCCTCGTACTGCTCGCAGCACTCCAATGCCGTGCAAGACGCCCTCATCATCGCCCTGAGCAACTCTGCCGTCGAAATCATCGGCGCCTTCGCAGTCTTCGGCGTCGTCGGCTTCTTGGGCATGCATCCTGAGGAGAGCGGAAGGCTAAGCACCTTCGTCGCTGGCTTCTACACCTATCCCGAGGCGCTCGCCCAGATGCCCGCCTCGAACTTCTTCTCCGTCCTCTTCTTCTTTACTCTCTTCCTGCTTGGTCTCACCTCGGCCTTCTCCCTCCTCGAGACCATGACGACCCTTGTTCTCGACACTACGTGGGGGGGGCGCTTTCCCCGTTGGGCGATCTCTACTGTTGTTGCCATTACTTCTGCTCTGATTTCCCTCATATACTGTACCGAGTTCGGCCTGCAGGCTCTCGATGCCGTCGATACCTACGTCAACAATGTCGCACTGTTTTTCGTTGTCTGGTGCGAGGCATTCGCTGCCACAACTCTATATCGGTATAGAGATCCCATCAGCCAGGTTGGCTGGATCGGTTTCTTGGTCTTCAATATGGGCTTTATTACGTCCCAGGCACTGGGAATTGGCCTTGCCTACGCCACCTCACCAGGGGCTGGCGCTGGCATTGGCTTCGGCATTTTCATCATCACCGTTGTTGCCAGCGCATTCCTATCCAAGACACCTCGGGTCCCAGCTCCTGGCTTCTGGGGCACGAACACCTTCCTGAACCGTATCTGGTGGTGCGCTCTTTACTCGGTAAGAACACGACTCACCGGTACACTCATTCATGTTGAAACAAATTGCTGACCACTCTTGGGCAGGGTTACCAACTCACCCGCGACCTGAATGTTGTCATCGGAGTCGGGAAGAACTGGAACATCCCCGTCGTTTGGGCCCCTTGTCTCAAGTATATTTCGGGTCCCATCCTCGCTATTGTTTTGTCCTTTGCCTACGCCAGCTTCCCCGCCTCCATGGCCGACCCTATCTGGGTTTATGGTTTCAGCATGATGCACCTCGTCTACCCCATCATCATTATTGGGCTTATCTTCCCTGGCTGGTACAACTTCATCGTTCGCGTTGAGAAGCGAGAGGAGGGAAACCACCTGATCGCGCCCATGGAAATCTTCGATCAGTCGGCTAACATGATCTGCAGCTTTTTCCTCTTGATGCTTGCGGTCACGGGAACGGTCGACATGGGGCTACATGGCCGGGCGCGTCGAGTCGGGTCGAGGCCATGCAAGGGGAAGCCTGGTGGTGGTGACCTATTCTAGGGTCTCGTGTGTTCAGCCGTATTTGCATATGGTGTAACCCTGCCGGGTGCAGAACGCTGAGGAGTGTGGGCTTTGGGGCGGCGTTGGGGGAGCGGTCGAGCCCTGGAGCTGGCCTGGGAGCTGGGTGCACGATTGATGGTTGCGGGCGTGATTCCTCGGCCTCCCTGATTAGTAGTAATGTAACAGACGCCCACCCACACTTTTCGCTGCTGAAGACATGTCGGATGTAGATCTGGTAGAATAAGGAAGGACTACTCGAAAAGACTACCTAAGTATCCTACTTCAACAGGACTTGGATGTGATCCTCAAGCTTCATGGGGACAAAGTCCGGCAGGCGCTGGTTCCACTCGTCCGTCACGTTGATAGCGCCATACGCAATCCCACTGAGCAGTCCAATCCAGAGCTTGGTGTGGAACGCCTGTCGATGAGCTTCCGGAATGCTTGCATGGACCACCTCCGGCATCTCAACCTTCAGCTCCCCGGACGCAAGGTCTGTCTCCCGAACCAGCTCCAAGCTGATTTCCCTGCCTGTTGAACAAACGATTAGCCCTGGTCCAAGTTTTGATGACATGTGTCAATCAACATACCTAATACTTTGGTGGCAACCTCCTGCAGCTGCCTCGTAGTGTATCGATTCCCAGTGAAGCCTCCGATTTCGGGCCAAGGCCTCTGATCCTCGATTGCCAACCGCACAAGTCGTGCAATATCTTTGACCGATGTCAAGACAAAAGGCGCATCCTCAGAGCCTTTAACGGCGACGATGCGGGACTTGCTCAGCTGGAAAGGTATCCACATGGTGGGCATGTGTCGCGTAGTCGGTACTGGATGAGTGATGTACTCGAGAATGTAGCCGGGCTGAAAGAGGCAGTACTCGAGCACCTTGAACGATGTTAACATTGTAAGAAGCTCTGATCGGGTGCATGCGAAACAGCGTACCTTTTTGTCCTTGTTCATCGCCTGGAGATGTTTGTAGACCTCGGTTTTGCCCTGATACCAGGGCAAACGATCAATGACCCCCTGAACTCCCTGTCCACTGCGGTTCCGTCAGTATGGAGAATCCTTTGAGAGAAGTCTGGTTTCGGTGGAATAATACGCACGTTGCCCATTCGCTCGGCGCGTAGCGTTTGACGCCAGCTTCAACGGCCGCATCGGCCAGGGTCTTGCCCAGAGCCCCATCCGAATCCGTTGGATCCGCGATGAAGTTGAGGACGACATCGATATCTTGGAAGAGTGACACCATACGAGACCGATCCTGAAAGTCAGGGACCTGCACCCATGTCAAGGTGTCTCTCTGGATAAACTGGCTCGGATCCTGCCCATCAGTCAGCTCTAGTGCTCCAGTGCCACGGGTACTCAAGTACCCGGGCTGGCTACATATACACTACCTTGCGACAGATTGCGAGAACGTCGTGCTTCTTGTCCCGCACAAGCTCTTCAATGACTTCAAGGGCAAGGCCTGATTGTTTGGTGTATCAGCAGGTGTCGGAGTGGAATGAGAGAGCCTCAATAATGGCATCTTACCGGAGTTGCCACCCACTACTGCGATCTGGACCATGGCGGCTGGAGTTACTATGAAAGGATGAGAATCGTGTGTGAATAGTTGGAGACTGCTTCTGGTGGCGATGATGGTGAGATGGCTGTGTTTGAGGTCGCCGGTCAGTGGTCTTCTTAATAGGGTCACCGCTACTATTTATCAATCAGGCCACGACTCAGCTCTCATAGGCTAATCAGTAACATCACGCTATCAAATATAGAAATACAGTGCACCTTATAAATCAGCACTGATGATAGCAGACCGCCGCACCGCGTTGGCGGCAGGCAGCAGGAGCGGAAAGACGAGGAACAAACATTCCATGGTTATTATCTAGGTACATGGTAGAGTCAACAGGCGAATCCGCTTCCATCGCCAGTCACCAAGCCGAACCACGAAGCAAATAATCCGTCAACAACATGCGAGTCCCAGATGGGACCCATCCCTGGGCAGCAGACATAACAATCCGCCAGAAGATCCAGGAGCTTATCAATCAAATATACCTGCTCACCATGCCTTTCATCACTTTTGACATAGTAGCCATGATCCTTTTCGAAGCGCTCAATCACGGGTGCCGCCATGGTTGCGAACAGTGCGTTCCCGACAGCAGCGCGGAGCCGTTGCTCGATCCCCAAGGGCGTCAGCCAGCGAAGATCCACCACGCCAGAAGGGCTACGCACGTCAAGATGCACAGGTCCTGCTGCGTAAAATCCACTGGCCTGAACGGCGGCGTGTTCATGGCCCTTCCGTCGGTAATGGTTGAGCCGTTCCCCGATGAGTGGAATCCACTGTCTCGAGCTACCAGACTCGGATATGAGCCCGGAAAGCACCATGGTCGGCCCTTCAGAAGTCCGTAAGTCAGAGTTGGTAAAGGAGTTGTGCCGCTGTCGCTCAGATTGTTGTCGATATGCCACCAACTTGGATTGCGCTCGGAGGAGAGCCTCCTGCTTGCCGATTATATGCCAGAAGATACAGCCGGAGAAGGTAAAAGCCGCCGCCCCCATGTACTGCATGATAAGCTCGAGTCCATTTGTGGCAGTCAAGCACCGGAAGGGGTCCGGGTGAAGGAGCAAATGAGCCCCGGGTGGTCCGCCGAGCTGAATAGGTGGGTGTTGAGATTTCCACAGGTCGATGACAGGAGGACTGCTGAAAGTTTGCGCACTCGAAAAGCCCTGACTTGATAATGGGGCGTTGGCTGATGGACTCCGGTGTTGGGCGTGCTCAAGCTGCCATGCTATAGCCTGTGTTGAGGCCGGGGGTAGTGAGCTGGGCGAACCCTGCAGCGGTCCAGGAGATGTGCCCCCAAGTATCGCTGACGACTCTGTCCCTGAACCCGCGACACAAACTGCATCATGGATTTTCGACTGAAGCACCGGGTCCGTGGCAGCGTGGCTGTATGCAAGAATGTCGGCAATTGCATTTTTGAGCGCCTGGTTCTCGCTCCTCACGTCCTCGTAAGCTTGAATCTGTCGTCGTCGAAAGGCACTCTGGGCAAGTCGCCCGCGCTCCCGTCGGCGCTTCAAGCTGTCAGCGGATCCCAGTCTCCATGTCCATATCACCGGCCGTGCCAGCGACCACTTTACTAAGCGGGCCATACCTTGAGTTCGTCCTGAGCACTGTCCATTGTCCGAGAGATAGAGGATAGCATCCAGCCATTGCTCGGCAGTCAGAGTTGCGGCATGATGGAAGAAGGGGGGCTGGGGCTGACCCATTTATACCATCAGTAATATCAGTAACATTAGTGGCATTAGTAAATCAGACTATCAGTCATATCAGTAACACCAGGGGCTGCCTAGCCAGTTGGGGTTCGTCTCCCTGACCACAGCTAGACCGGTGTCAGTGCCGGACTTTCCAGACTTTGCTACTTTCGGTCCGTCGTATCTAACTGGCCAAGGGCCAAACAAGCCCTACCCCCGCTGTACCATTTTACATGACTCTTTCACACGGTCCTCGTCGGCCAGGTCGATTCGCCAACGTCCATTACTCCGACACCGTCGGCGAAAATCATGTCGAGTTCAAAAGCTCCCTCTCTGCCACAAGTGCTGTGCCCCATGACACCATTCAGTGGCTCATCGCATCAAACACAATACAATCCGACCATGCCGCTCAATCATGTTTCGATTCCAGTTGGGAGGCATTACACCCGGATGCGCGACTTCTACACGTCGGTCCTGAAACCGCTCGGATATTCTCTATACATGGAGAAACTCGATACACCGAATTCCCGGCCATTGTGTGGTTTTCAAGCTGGTGCCGGACCCGACTTTTGGCTCGGCCTTGGAGAAACCAAGGCCAGCATCGACGCAATCCGGACTTTCGACGGCGACAACGAGTCGACAGTGTCGCCAGTCCATCTGGCATTCGATGCTGCAAGCCAACAGCAGGTTGATCATTTCTATGAGAATGCCATGTAAGCATTTTCCTCCCCGCTCGACCTCAGAGACTCTTTGAGCTGACGAGAGCAACCCAAGAAAATCGGGTGCTAGGGACAACGGGAAGCCTGGGTTGCGGCCATATGGCAAAACCTACTACGCAGCATTTGTGATTGATCCTTTGGGTAACAACATTGAGGTTGTACATCTTCCAAGAGTATAGTCCATGTTCACAAGGTTTAGCTTAGACATTCGGGATGTGGCTTCCAGATTTATCAAACTTACTCATATATAACGTTAAGCGCAGCCATGTTTGTGAAGTTAAACACATATCCTAGGGAGGACATGAAGCTATGCTCATTGCTTGTTAACAGCTATGCTTGGCCGATTATGTCACTGTCATGGGTGCGGAGACTCCAAAAGGCACCAGTATTCCGCAAGCAACTGATGGTTATTCGTATCAATGTCGATGCGTGGTCTTTCATATCCAATAACTTTCATGGATCACACCAGTAATTCTCCAACGTCCGGCTGTCATATGGTACATTTCATAGAACTTGGATCCATTCAATGAACGTGCCCATATGAAAGCAATCAAAGTAAGCTGGTTGGCTCTATTTCCAGGCCTATGTATCTCATTCGTGGAGGTCTGGGTTCAATACGCAGAACCGCTCCTTATACAAGCTCCTACTCAGTCTTCCACGCTGCGTTGACAACCTCCTTGACGGTCCTGGCCTTGGTGTGGGGGAAAACATCATGCAAAGACTTGGATGGGTTGAAGTCGAAATCCCCATTGTCGAAGAACACACCAAATGCAGCGAACAGGCTCTGCAACATCGTCTTGGGGAAGTAGGGATACATAGCGGGGTGCGATGGCAACTCTGTGACTTCGCCCTTGTTGAGTTTGTCGAGTGAATCGTGGAAGATTTCAAACTTGACTCCCTTGGCCTCCTCGGCAATAGCGACGAACTCGTTCATGGTGATCTTATCACCGATGATGAAGACATCCTTCTCCCACTCAGAAGCAGGCTGATTGACGTATTCAGCGACAAACTTTGCGACGTCCCAGGTGTGCGTGAAGACCACGGGCGTGTCTCCGGAGCCAGGGATGGCGGCGATGTTGTTTTGAATGTCGATGAAAGTAGTGACGGGATCCATGTAAGACTTCACCTTGGGCATACAGAAGTAATCAAGGAAATAGCCGGGGTGGACGCTTGAGAACACCAGTGAAGTCTTCTCGAGCGCCGCCACCGCCTCGGCCTTGTGAGCCGCGGGACCGAAACGGGTGCCCATGCTAGGTTCTTCCTTAATACCACTGCAGACACATTTCATTGGCCGGTACTCACCTCTTGGTGTATGGGATGCCCCAGGAGCTGGTGATGAATCGAATCTTGCCGGAAGCCCGATCCGCAGCCTCGATCAAAGCCAACTCGGCATCGTTGGTTTGGACCGAGAAGACGGTAGAGATAAGGACATCCACCTTGTGTATGTTCAGGGCTTCTGTGATGTTGGCAACGTTCCCGTAGTCAACAGCTACTATCTTCGAGCCAATCTCCTTCTCCTTGAGCTCAGAAGACTGGCGTGGACATAGAGTCAGCCGGCTTGTCAAGAATGGCTTGCTGAAGCTGAAAAGTTACCTCTCGAGCCAGGACCAGAACGGTGGACTGCTTGGTTGCATTGAGGGCATCAACGATGGCACGACCCAGCTTGCCAGTTCCTCCAGCAACAGCAACGACAGGCATGATGATGAATAAGTATCAAGAGACAGAATTTGGAGGTGTGTGTGGTTCAATGCTTCAGCTACATCTCGGTCACGTTCTTTCATGGGCTCATGTAGACACAAGAGCAACAGCTATTCATGTTGATGATGATCATCACCATTGGATCTTAATTCTCCGGATGCCCTATTGATTATACATCATCACATGCCAGTCTTTGTAATACTCCGGCGGCTCATGACTCGACTGACTGGAACGGATTACCAACACAGCCTACACCGTTCAAGCTACTCACCCTGTGCGAGCCGACTCCTCCAAAGTGCGGATCAAGGTGCTCCGACGTCTCATGCCCCCTCCCCACTTGTAGAAGGCCAGTGGAATCGGCAGCAACGCCGCCTCAATCACCCCCAGCGTAATGCCCGCCCCTCGCGGCGTCAGCGCCGCATACATGGACTTGCCCACCAACACCAGCACCGCTCCAAAGATGGACCGGAATACCAAGTTTCCCGCCGACGCCGAAGTCGCATACAACCCGAACACGCTGGCGATGTAACTGGTGCCGTAAATGAACACCAAACCAAAGCCGTACCCGAATGGAATCCCCGAAGCGACGCTCCAATACACCGGAATATCCACCGGCAGCGCCGTGTACGCAAACATGAACTGCGCCAGAGGCTCCATCACCGCGCCGATGCAGATGATGAGTACCGTCGCTTCGGGTTCGGGCCGCCCTGTCTTCGGGTTACGTGGGTGCAAGTTGACAAGTGGCGCAGTAGCGGTTCGGTGACGAGAACCAGACTGATGCCGACAAAGACACCGACGTACGCGAGCCCGGAGATGGCTACAGAGAACCCACGCCCGTCTTGGTAGATGATTGGGAACGCGACGTAGGCCAGCTGCACCACGGCGTAGATGACCGAGATGTACACGTTCCACAGGAAGAGGACGGGCTCGGTGAAGGAGAGGACGAATGGGCGCGAGATGGCCGTTCGCACCCTCCGTAGGAGGCCGACTTTGGTGTCGAAATCGGACCAGTATCGGGTGTCGTCTCGGGACATGCGTCGTGTTACTGCCAGTTTGCGAAGGAGGGCTGGTCGGTATGTCTCGGGGACCGTCATGATGAAGATGGCGCCTACGGCTGTCGAGATGAGGGAGAGCCAGTTAAGCCATCGCCATCCCCAGGCCTCGACCACGAAGCCGCCCTGTCGCCGCCGGTTAGACAACATCCACAGAGGAGGTATGTCTCACTCACCAGCATCGGCCCTAACACAGGCCCGTTGAGCGGCCCAAAAGAGATGACCGACAGCGCCAGGGGCAAGTATTTCGGTGCCGTGATATCAGCAATTGAGCCGCCCGTGTTGGACAGCATCACGCTGCCAGCCACCGCACTAGTATCTGGTCAGCCAGACTCGCCACAAGAAGAAATGGAGGGAACTCACCCCAGAAACCTCGCGATCAGAATCGTCGTGATATCAGTCGCCAGCGCCGCCACCGGAATCAGCCCCAGAAACGCAGTCAACCCCCCAACATACATCGGCCTTCTCCCAAACGTTTCGCTCAGCGGCGCCATAAACAGCGCCCCCAGCGCCAACCCGACCAAATACAACGAGATACCCAACAGCGGCACCGACGAATCCGTTAACGTAGATGCATAGCGAGTGGGCCAGCATAGCGAGTGGGCCACTTTCACCAATTCTACAGAGCTCAACTTCCACCTTCGCACTCATTTTAAAAAAAGTTAATTAAAACTAGTCGCTATCCTCTAATTCAGACCCAAGAGTAACTAGCTGATAAGTTCTCGCGTTATAACTAGTCTTCCCGTAGACGCTATAGCTTCGTTTCTTCGGCGTAGGCATTATCGACGGAGCCGGATTTTATCGCATTTCCTCCCTTATCTAACTATCTACCTCCCTCTAGGCAATCTAGTCCTATCCGTCGCCTAGAGTAAGACTCCCTCCTTTCCGTAATTATATTTTTTTAGCCCTCCGACGCTAGCTAAGGGTCGTATTCTCCTCTCGAAGGATCGCGACCTCTAACTTTAAAAGGGCGTTTTAGTATATTATACCCTACGTACCTTTTACTAGAAAGTTAATAGCTTTAAGAATTAACGTTAATGAACTTCCCTTATAATAGTTAATCCGACCTTTAATAAAGTCGGACTATAAATCTATTTATATAGCGGTTATAGGCGTTTAGGAAGTCTAGAGTTTAGGTAGCCTATAAAGCGACCCTAGAGGCGTTAGCGTCTTTAATTTTATATCTAGCTTCGAAAGAACTACTTCCGGGCTATATAATATAAGCCTAGCCCCCCGAAAACCGCTTAGGATATTTTTTTCTATTATTATATCTCGGAATATAGCGGAAAACGCTAATAGGAAGTCCTCCTTTATAATATAGCTTATATTAGCTTTTATTTTAATCTCGATTTATTAACTATACGCTTTCTTTAATAGTCCGAAATAGTTAATATCGAGAGGCTAGAGTAAGTACGACGAATAAGGGGGTATATAGAGCGTAATAATATTATTTTCCTTATAGTAGAGCTCGAATTCGATAGAGTAGTAACTTTCGTAGCTATCTAGGACGAGGATATAATAATTACCCGATTTTCTACTTGTATGTGATTCCTTGTGGGATTGCCGCCTGTTTTGGCAGGCAGGCACTGCCATTCTGGGAAGGGTTTCCGTGGCATGGAAGGTACTCATACTGAGTCAGCCGAACGGTTGCTTTCCCGAAACGGGCTTCAATCTCACCGCCTACTCAATTGATTTCTGGCCTTCCGTCCAAATTCAGGTCCCTGAACTTGACTTTTCTCCACCGCTTGCCTATATGGGCCAGGTCCTTCAACTCGGCCCTGAGCTACAGTTCATCATCCGTTTTGGAACAAACGGTCAGATGTCTGCTCAGCCTCCGTCTTTCATCTCCCCTTGTTCACGTCTAATCGCCTCTGGTGCATTCGTTGAAGCCTTATTCCAATTTTGGTGCTCACTGTGTCTTGGTCCGTGATTAAGGTCCTTTAATCTCCCTTCCCGCTCGTGCTTCATTGCCGGTGCTCCCTGATCATATTGGTGTTTAGTATCTGCTGGCTGCTTCCTCACTATTCTGCTTCTTATCTTCTTCATGCTGTCCTTTACATTAGCGCCCATTGTTTTCAATCTTGAACCCATTGGAACTATCCTATGCCTCCAGTCTCCAAAGTGCCACGACGGGCTATGCAGCGACGAAATGTTCGTCGCAACAAAGTCTCCACTGGAAGGACAGAACCGACTACTCAGGCCCCCGACGCTCTATCAAGCCCCGCGGAAGCACCGGGTCTTAATCGCGACGAAAATGAGACAGACAGCCAAGATTCCGAATTCGACGGCGGAGCTGATTTCGATGGAGATTATGATGGCGATTACGGCCTTCAGCCAAGGAACTCACGCAGAAGGGCATGGTCGAGGCCTGTGAAGTCAACTCGGTCTGCTCCCGTGGGGCACCAGGTATCGAACTTGGACGTTGATTCAAGCACAGAGTCTGATTCTGATGCCGAGAGCTTTGCTGAGTCGGGTTACTTCTCTGGCGAGGGAGATCCGGACGATGTTGCTGGGTTTTACGGCAGCCTCATCGCTCAATATGCAGAGGAGGGTCCGATCATGGCCAACCATGGCGCAAATACCAAAAGAATGACCCGTCCGGAGGAGAGACGTTGGATCGAGTATGTTATTGGTCCCCGTGTCTTTGATCAATTGCTCAAATTCTGTCAGGTTCTGCCGAGCTGCCAAGTTGGAACAGAAAGAGTCCATGGAGGCATGCAATGCCTCTATTTTTAAAGCCTACCTGTTCTGGAGAACGAGAAACTCTAGAATCAAGAAAGAGTCGTCGATCATGACGTATTGGAATGTTCTCAGCATGGTATATGCCGAGAGGACCAAACGCTACATGGATGGCGGTGTTCTTTACGACATTGGCAATGTGATTCCTCCTACCTGCTTCCTGACTGCTTCAAGATACTAACACGAGCGCTAGTGGATCCACACATCCCTCACACCTGAATTTGATTTGGATACATCCAAGAAAGAAAAGTCCGGCCTCTTCGTCGAAGACTTGGACCTGATCCTCCACTATCACTTTGTCCGCGACGAAGAACTCTATACACACGAAAGATTGCGTGTTCAACTCGCACTGATCCTCATAATCGCTGGCGCCACCGCCACAAGGCCAGATGCGCTGATTGGTAAAGTGCTGTACAAGCACATCGAGTTCCAGCTCTTTCCTCCCGCTGCCGAAGGGCAGCGTCCACGCCTTGGACTGATGTGGAACTTGGAACACGTCAAAAGATCTGCCGGGGCACCAGAGAAAAAAGTGTTTGGCTTTCACGAAGAAGACACACTCCTGCATGATCCAGTACTTCATACATTAGCATTGGCGTTTGCCGATGACGCGTTTCTGAATGGGTTCTCTGGGCCCGAACAGATTTACGATCTAGCCGTTCCGCTGCAGTCGGACCGGCTGCGGCTTTTGTGGAAGAAAGATTGGGCCGAGCGTCCAATATTCCGCACCACGGAAGGTCTTCATATGGCTATTGACAAAGCCCTCACGTACTGCAAAACTCGCGGGCATTTGATACGACTCGGTCGAGCACTGGGGTATGCGAAGAAGCTTGAGTTTTACGACCTTCGTCGTGGCTCTGGAAAGAAGTTGAATGGTATGACCACGCCGCAGAGTAGTGGGAATCCTACTGACAGCATGCAGAGGCGCTCACTCCAGAGGAGCGGAATAAGTCCATGGGGCACCGGCTGGGGGACTCGTCCACTTACGTACGATATTACATGGGTGACTTCATTGGTTCCGATAACCAGTCCATTGTGTTTGGAAGCGACCTACAAACGGACTTGATTCACCTCATGAGCCGTTTACAGCGCCATGGCGATGCCCCGACAAGACTGACTGACGATCAGAAACTGGAAATTCAAGATGACCCCAAACTAGCGAGGTACCTCCAGAAACGGGGAAGAGCTATGGAAAATTTCAAATTGGAAGGCTATCGTTCGTACGCAGCTGCAAAAGACACTGCCGCCGGAAGAAAGTACAGCATCTATCGAAAAAAGGCCGAAAGCCTGAGGAAAACATTGACAGCCCGCCGCCTAGACCGTGCGATTAGGGAGTTCCATGATACCATTCATGCCAAGGAGGTTGACCGACAGATTCAGGGAACGAAGCCGGATGCGGAGCTGTTGGCACTCTCGGAGACCGAATACGAGCTTCGGGAAAGAGCCGAAGTAGCGCGCCTATTCTCCCAAGCCGCAGATGTGTCGAACAGAGAAGAGCTCCATCAACTACGACTCAAACTCATTGTGGCACTCTCTGATCTTGGCAAACGGCGTGAGAGCCCGTGTCGTCGCCAAGCACGACAAAGTGCATCTGGGACTACTTCAAGGTCGGCAAAGATCTCCGTTGATGATCGTTCCAAACCTGTTTTGCGAACTTCGTCGAAGTCAACAATCAGTATCTCCAAAGTCCCAAAACATTCGACAAGATTCAAACCTCTGGACCAGCAGCAGGATCTGCACGTTTGTCCCTTTTGCAAATGGGAGGATGCAGAAGTTGGGACAAACCAACGGGAAAAGACATGGCGCATCGACAGTTTGGGAAGGCACATCCGCTGTATGCATCTTGAAAAGCTGAGTATACCTTTCATGTGTCCGTATAGTGGATGCCAGTCGGTGCTAGGGACCGCGGAACACTTCACAAGTCATACCGCAAGGGAGCACAGGGTCTTTCTGCCATCATCAGTTGTTCTAGGGTAGCCTCGACGAAGGAGAACTATCTAGGGCTTGTTCAAGTCTATGAGATGTTGTCGATAAGATCCGAGGCGTGCGTCATGTCCCACTCGGGCTGGCCGGCTTGAAAGTATTCAATCAAAACCAATCGCGACATTCTCTATGAAATATGTTGCAATCGAATTAATTACTGACATGTCTGCTCACAACATATGAAGTTTGTGAACAAAGTAGGGATTCCACTGTCGCCGGTTTAAACGTTCAAAGTGCCCCGAAGCCCTCCATCGGAGCCACGATCGAGAAGCTCCAGCCCATTCGAAAAGACTACGGGCCTCTTGATCCACCACGCCCTGACAGCTTGGAAATGTCGACTTGAAAAAGTCCATATCTCCGTGCAACCATCATGTAGGGCAAAGACTGCGGAGGTAATCTAGTCGCGTGTCAGCGAGGCTTGCGCCATTGTGTGCGAGCCTTACAGATGGTATCGCAAGCTTGAGAATAGGATGACTAGCCGAAGTATTCGTTTCATTCCAAACTAGGGCACATGCCAACACCAAAGCCCCCGTCGATAGTGCCTGGATTGAAAAGTGTCCTGCCAACTTGTAAATCCCTGGGGTATTACGCAAGGTGTTGCCGCCCGGTCTCCCCTCTGTGCCCCTGGCTTCCCAGATGAGAAGTAGCCATTGCGTGGCCATGTAGAAACGAAATATGCCGGCTCCGGTGACAAATATCGTGCGGCCAGTCGTTTGATTCTCTATCAGCAGAATGCCTAGCAGCGATATAGAGGAGCAAGGGACCAAAACGCAGGCTAGGACGAGCGGATGGAACGCCCGCCGAGTTCGATACCAAGAACCGCCCATCCAAAAACACTACAGCTGTTAGCTGCACGGTATTTAGAGATGTGAAGGACTCTTACCTGTCCTGTCATGCTGAGAACTACCAGCGACCCAGATACAATTAGCGGTCGAGACCCGTGTCCGACTTGTGAAGCTACTCCGAGCGCGAGAGCGACAGAGAAGACAGCAAAACCATGAATGAGGGCGAGAAGCACAAAAACGTGGTGATAGATCGTACTCAGAGGTTGCATTGGGCCTGGGACACTAGGGCCCTTCTTGTAAATTTGATAGAGGGAACAGAGTCGAAGTATGGAGGCACCAACATTGGTCCAACATAAGATATGGGAGGTTATGTGAATAAAGTCACTAGAAATCATCTTGAATAAGTTTTACGAGTTTTGATCATCCTCCCAATGCTTCTTTGATTTTTTGGGCTGCTGGTTTATATGTACAGAATGACTAGGAGTGCTACAGAACATTACGAAGCACTTCTAACAACCGCTCAGAGCTGGAAATTAGCTTGTTGCTAGACCTGTCGACACTCAGCTGAGCATGAACCAGAGACTACCTTGCCTGTATGTGAAAGATCCAATGCAGTTGATCGTCACCGCCACGTAACTCAGCAGCTTACATGGGTGCCAGCCGGCAAGGCAAACTTGAAGGAGATCCTTGCTCTGACTTGCCATGGTTCCCTTGAAAGAGATTTAGAAAGAGGTGGAACGAGGGGGTGAAGGACAGTAGAGCAACACTAGGGTGTCGAGATAGGGGGCGGTCTTGTCAACTTCGGGCAAGGGAGTGGTACTCCAACGGTCTGCATCGCATGACGGACGGCCGACTCGGTACTTAGGCTTTCCGTCTCATCCTAGGCCTTCTGCGCTGCTCCACACGCACCTAGAGTAATGGCTGAGAGGAAATGGGAGGGTCAGGAAACTCGCCAAGGCTGTACAGTAACTCCAGGCGCGGTGGCCGTTCCAGGCGCATTTTCAGGGGTCAGGGAGCCATTGCCGATACTTCCTCGTCTGAGTATGCCCAGCCTTGATGGACCAACAAGAGGATGAGGGAAATCCTTGACTGGATATATAAAGGCCTCCCTCTCCTTCTCTTCAGCCTCTTTCCTATCTCTTCCTCTTCATTCTCTCCTCTCCATCCTCTCTTCTCCATCCCCTTCTCTTCAGTCTCTCCTCTCCATCTCCTCTTCTTCATCCTCTCCTTCTTATCCTCCCCTCTTCATGCACTCTTCTCCATCCCCTTCTCTCCAGTCGCTCCTCTCCATCTCCTCTTCTTCATCCTATCTTTTTTACCCTCCACTCTTTATCCTCTCCTCTCCACCCCCTCCTCTTTATCCTCTTCTTTTCATCAACTCTTCTTCATCGCCTTCTCTTTATCCTACACTTTCGTTGTTGGTTAGCTGCGATACAACCTCTGTTGCCTTACCCTAATCGCTAGAGTTCGATCTGTCCCAACACGCGCAAGATTTATAACTTCTATTCGCATACTCCTTTTCAGGTGGGCGTCGAAGATTGCCGTGCGAAGGAATGGAGCCCCCAAAAGACGAATATGGCATCTTGCGCCAGGGATGCTTTGTCGATTCTCAGATTCTTCATCAGAGTCGCGACAGCCCATCAAATCACCAAGACCAACAAGGCATTTTTGACGACTGCTCCACCACCAGCTCAGCAGCTGATACGACATGCGCTATAGATGATCCTCGGTATCTTTCGGAGACTCAGGCTGCATGTGATGCCTTCCATGCCGCTGAGACGATGATGCTGCTAGCTGGTACTCCAGCAGAGGACAGACAGCGAGCTGAAGTATGCCCAGCACACCGTTCCAATGCCGGATGTCTTCAGCATACAACCAGAAAAACGAAAACTGACGCAGCGTCTTTGCAAAGCAATTCTGCCAAGAGTCAGCCTCAGTCTAGATACGATTGGCGTTACCAGGACCCTGTTAGCGATACCATCGAATCTCATCATGTCGTGCCTCACTATCGAACCAGAATTTCCGTACCAAGAATTGGGAAGGATGCAGTGCTCACCAAACGACGATACTATCCATACAGCCAAATGCTTGTGGAGGACCGCGAGCGATGCCTTCATGCGTGTTGGCGTTTCAACAAACAATCTGGGGAGGGGATCGTTCCGTTCAAACTGTTCAACCTATCCTCAGAGCTGTTTCGCAGCATTGTGCAGCCCCCCCAACGAGCGAGAAATTCCTTTCTCGACGGAAAGATAGGAAATAACGTCATTGTCGCACCTCCTTTCGTGTGCGAGTACGGATACAATATTTGCATCGGAGACAATGTGCACATCGGCCCAAACTGCACCATCAACGATGCGAGCCCCGTCATCATTGGCAACGGTTGTGTTCTCGGGCCGGGCGTCCTTATACTGACGGAGCTACCAACTGACTCCAGGAGTCGAGCAGTAAACCATAGCCTTCGAGTGGTCCAGGGCGTCACCATCGAGAAAGGATGCTGGATAGGAGGAGGGGTCGTTATTTGCGCTGGCGTGTGTATAGGAAAGGGCAGCACGATCCTGCCAGGTACTGTTATAACGAAAGTGGGTGGGAGCAATTCCTTCTGAAATAACATTTTGCTAATCATTGATTTACAGGAGGTTGATCCGGGCGACACAGTCACCGGGAATCCTGCCAGATCTTTAACGAGTTGAAAAAAGCACCGGGAGTTGGGATTTGTTTGGTTTCAGGGGGCTACGGGCTCCGGACACCAGGCCTTTGTAAGTTCAGCATCAAAAGCCACTGTCGGTCGGTGTATAACTGATCCAAGACCATGAACAGCTACACGGGTCAAATCGGTAGATTCCAGTATTCAATGAGCCGAGCATGTCACCTCCGAAGAGGTACCCGATCCTGTCAGATTGATCAAACGCTTCTTTTTGCCCTTTTGCCGCTTGTGGGAGGTTCGTAGCGTTGCCTTGATCCCTTCATGTTTTCAGGCCTTTTTAGATGAGCTTTTACTCGACATCTTTGTTTTCAGTTATTGAAGACTTATCAAGTATATATAACTGCTGACGTCATAGTTATTGTGTTACACGATCGGTCCGCTGAACGTATGATGAAGATGCATCGTATATCTTTTGGCATTTTATCATCTGGTCAGCTCAGTATTATCAAAATAGCATAGAGTAGGTAGAACTATCTTGAGGAAATTTCACGGGTATCAGAATAGAGAAGGCCTTGGTGACTCATAGTGTTGTATGATGGCCCTTTATAGGCAATCTTGCGATATACAGCTTTGGGGAAAGTGAGTGAACCAGTATTTTGACACTATTTATTCACCAGTTTCCCTCGCTGCAACGAAATGGGAAGGTTGCGGAAGTTTTATAATCGTGTATCGTTGAACCATAACAAACTGTTCTGGTCGTAGTTGCGCCCAATACTGAACGGTTTGTTGAACCCTTCTTTTGAAGCTTTCACTTTCCACCACGTAATGGCCGGAATCCGCGGAATCACTCGGATACCGCAGTCAATAATGAATTCGTGGCCCTCGGAGACCTATTCACCGATTGTGCGTGGAGCAGCCTGAAGGTCCGAGCATCTCGTACGATACCAGCCTGATTCTGACAGCTCTGTCTTATGCGTTTGACTAGGTCTTGCAGGTATGCTGAGCCACTGGTTCCAATAGCTTCGAGACTGGTCACTGCTTCTTGATCACGATGACATTGTCGGTATATCTCAGCAGCGTGTGAGAACATGTTGTGAAGAAGGTTTGTTGCTTGACGGTCCCGCAGTGCCAACATTCCTGAAGCATCGTCACCCACGTCTCCGCAATTTCCCATCGCTACTTGAGTATAGTACTCTCCAAGAAACTCTGCGAAGAAAAGCCCCGACCAACTGGGATCTTGCTCAGCAAGTGCAATCGCCTCCTTCACGAAGGCTTGATCCACGAGCTTGCCGGCAGCAAGCTGAATGGTAGGACGAATGAACTCGCGGATCTCGGTCTCAGTGGCGGATGCCATGACGTATGGTTCAGACGTACGTTTCTCCTGAGACAAATAATGATGAGACTCTCTGCGCATATACACACAAATTATGGGTAGGTAGGTGGATAGGTTCTGATCCTGAATTAAAAGACTTCGACATGCCCTCTTATCTAGACTTTGAACCTTGAAACCTGTAATGCGGACTTTTCGTGATTGACTGGTTAGCTATACATGTGACTTGATCAACTTTGCAGTTCAAGGTGAGGTGAGGTCCGAATCATGCACCATAGAAAAGACAATTGTAGGGCCTTCTTGAACCCAATCAGGCGCACGACACCCGCACTTTCATCGCTCCGAGATGTGCACGTATTGAACTAAAACGTCCTTCTTTCTTGCCCCTGAACTAAAATGCAAAGAATTCCGTCGGGCGTGCGCACGATCCTCGGCCGCATCCCTTAAAGTTGGAATATCTGCGACCCTTTTGTCAGGTGGTTTTAGAGGGCTCTTTGAGGGTTTTGAAACCACAGAAGCGCGTACTGTATATAGGGGCTGTTGAGGGCTTTAATTGAGATCTTTTGACTCCTGCCTACAGTGACAGTAGACTGCGGATGTCGCCTGCGGAGGACCTTGTCACTCTGCTCATCCCCTCGCTTTAACGCACATACTGTACATGCGCCATGCTCACAGTCACTGTGCTCTCACTGCTGATGCTCGATCTTCCCACGTGGGCCACAGGTCGTTGCATCTGCACTGCTTATTTACCGCTAAGCCAGGCACAAGCAACATGCGAGACAACAGCGCCGTCCGAGTTGGCTAAGAGTCTAGAGCGGTCGTTATCTCTCACCAACATTCTGACCGAATCCTCAGTACTTTTTACGCCATTGGAACACTTTTATCTCAACTCTATCTCCTCCGTATCTAGCTCTCGCACAGTCGATCATCAAAATGTTACCGCTTCCCCAACTTCCCCCGCTTCACGCACAGCTTCATCCTCGGCCATCGACGCCACTCGTCCAGCCCACACTGTTCCAAGAGTAAGTTATCCTTTCCAATCTCTTTCGTCATGGAAAACATCGAATAGTTTTGCTCGCATGAAGAGTCGATGACCACCACCATCGCAGCTCCTATTTCAGGTCTTAGTATTCCGACGTCCCTCAACTGGTCTGCGGGTACTACCAGTAGATATGGAGACCAGACTTTGTTCCCGGATGTGGCACACGGCGGCTATGTGGAGGCGCTGTACCCCTTGCTGAAGGCCGAAGGCTCTATGAGAAGATAGCATACTGTCGCGCCAAATTTGAATTCATCTTCAGAAATTCTGGGCAATATTCAAATGGGGCAGTATTGTATGATGGCTGCCGGGTATATATGATGTCGCTCGGCAACCATGACCTAGCTGACGGATGGTTTGACACCCTGGTGATGTCTCGGAAAATCAGTGGGTATCTCTGACCTTGACGTCGAGAGCAACACTGGGGTCTGGCAGATAACTCGCACGCCGCGCGCGTGCGTCCACAGCATTTTATACCGTTCTTAAAGAACCAAACGTTTGTCGAACGCGTCTCCCACCTCGATTTACTGAAGAAGTTGTCTGGTGAGGATAGCCAGGGATCATTGCGCGTAGCACTTGTTGGTCTCGGCGGCGTCAGCAAGACGCAGGTGGCCTTGCAATTGGCCTACTGAGTGAAGGGTAACAAGCCAGGGTGGTCTGTCTTCTGGATCTCGGCACTCAGCACGGCCAGTTATGAACAGTCATGCAGAGACATTGCCCGTCTGTTGAAGCTTGATGAAGCGGAGGAAAAAGATACCAAAGAGCTGGTCCAGCATTATCTTGAGTCAGATGCGTCTGGCGACTGGCTGCTCATCATCGACAATGCCGACGATGAAGAAGAGATGGAGGGTGTGCAACAAAGCCGGAAGCAGGGCGAGAAGCATGGGATACGGCCGTTTCTTCCTCGAACCGAGCAGGGTCGTGTTCGATTCACAACTCGAACCCAACGCATTGCAACTCGTGTGGCCCAGCGTGTCGGAATGGTCGGCCCCGAGCTTCGTCTTGAAAGTCTCCATCACCTCTACCTCCAGCTTCTCGGCCTCTTCCTACCGACCCTGATTCCTGTACGTCGACGCCAGGTTGGCCATGCTGGTCAGCGTCGAGGGATGCTCGTCGCCCAGCACATACTTTCTCATTCGTGTCGCCTGTAAAAAAAGAATCTCGGGGTCCTTCCACTTGCCCTCAAAGTCCAGATGACCAGCAACACAGTGGAGCAAAGATGCCTTATTTTTTGCCCTGTCTGATGATGTGGGTACCTCCACTTTCAGCACTGCCATGGCATGTGGAAGATACTCAGTACAGACCGTCCGGTTCTCGTAATCACCGAATGGATAAGAACTTGAAACTGTCGATAGTGCTTCCCTCTCAAATTGCCTGATCCTGCCCTCTTTGTGTAGCCATTTCCGTGTGACCAAGTGTACCAGCCGGTGCATATCGAGACGCCCGTTCTTCTCTTCGCTTACTAGGCAGAATGACTTTAGGACGCCTAATGATTTTGTCAACTGCATCACGCTCTTAGGGCCCCCGTTTCGTTCCTGCTCGCTGTAGTGTGACAAGAACGCCATTGGGATGCCCTGACAGTCGAAGAAGCTCATGACCGAGAGAAGTTGGCCTGCCAGCTCATCCTGTCGATTGATCTGCTGGAAGGAGAGCATCCATGTTGCAGCTACCGCTCGAGGCGTCTCGGAGTCTCGCCCAACCGTCTCAAACTCCTGGCTCAGTAGATCGACGAGGCTATGATCGCTTTCATCCAGTAGCTTGAGATACTGGTCAATGGTGATAGACTTCTCCTGAATGAACGCGGCCGCCTGAACGAGCGCGAGTGGCAGTCCCTCGAGTCGCGTCGTGAGCGTAGATAATGCGGCACTGGCGAAGTCCACGTGTTCGAGCTTCGTATGGAGAAGGTCTCGAGATTCTTTGTCGTTCATGCGGCCTACTTCAATTGGCCGTTGCCCCATGGTCAACCTTGATTCCGCCTGCTTGTTCCTCACCAGACGTAGCCGTGGACGTGGAAGACGCTCGGTCATGATGCTCCGAACCTTGGTCGGTGGAGCAGAGTTATGATCACGTGACATTTTGCTTTACCCATGTGCCCCATATCTTGCTTGACTCCTTCTTTTGGTCCAAATATGCCATCACACCTCAACTCGAACACTACAAGACCTTCGGCGTTTGACTACGGTGGTACACCACGCATTGCTTTCGACGACACAGAGGAATCTCAATGGATCCCCAAAACATAGCCAACCTCCCCTCTCAGCCCACAGAAAATCGCGTCCTCAAAGCCAATCACAAAACCCCAGCAGCTAGATACAACATCAAGGTGCTACGCGCTCTACAGCACACATTGAAAGGCAGTCCGGAGGCTGATCTCGCCAGCCTTCTGCCGTCAACATATTCAAAGAAATTACAATCGTTCAAGGACTCAGGTGATGAGCCTCCCAAATATCAAACCAACTATTGCTGATGCAATCTGAACCAGCAGTTCATCCATCGACATCGGCGACCGGATCCTTTGACTCCAAACCTTCATTTCTAGATAACGATGTCCGCTCAAGAATCGATGCTGCCGACCAGTCGATGACCTTGGTCCAGCTGTCTTCGGAACTGAACGGCCTCCTTCAACCCCACAAGGATCTCTCAACAGGCCTTGTAAACCTGCTAGCCAACAGCGAGGTGCTCTACGAAAGCGCATGGGCAGCATCTATCATGGTGTTTCGGGTCAGCGAGAATCTTGTTGTCAAGGTTACTGTCGATGAGAGGTCAACACTCAACGAACACCGGTCACTAGCATATCTACAACAACATCAACATAGATTTCCTGCCCCGAGACCACACGGCGTGGTACGCCTTGGTCAATTCTGCCTGCTCTTTACGAGTTTCATTCCGGGCATCACGTTGGAGAAGGCATGGTCTCGATTCGACAACATGGAGAAGACCGCCATAAGTAATCAACTCGATACATTGGTCGCTACTTTGAGGCTCATACCCTTTCCGGAGAACACCACGTTGGGTGGCGTACTAGGGGGCGGTTGCAAGGATGCAAGACGAGGGATCCGTCTCAACTCTGAACCGATCTTTAATGTCAAGCAGTTTGAAGATTTCATCTTCGCCGGATCGGAGACGGCTTCGCCCCTCTACACTAATCTTTTGCGCAGCCTGATGCCAAGCTTGCCAGCAACATGCGTCTTCTCACATGGCGATCTTCGCCCCGCAAATATTATGGTTTGCCAACGTGAAGATGGAAGCTGGAGAATCGTCGGTATCATAGACTGGGAGTCGAGTGGGTTCTATCCGGAATACTGGGACTGTGTGAAGGCGACAAATAATTTGACCCCAAGGGAGCAAGTCGATTGGTACTCTTTTTTGCCAGACCAGATATCACCACATCGTTATCCGACGCAATGGCTGGTTGATCGGCTATGGGACCGGAGTATGGTCAACGGCTAAGGAGAATGAAATTTCCATTACACCCCTGAGGGAGCATGTGGTGAATGGTGAGCGAACGGATCACCGCTTTCATTCACTCGAGTCATAGACAAACTCTTGCGACATGACCTGGCCTTCCTGCTCCTCTTGTTCCTCATATTCCTCCGATTCCTCATCCGCGTCTCCACCAAAGTCCTGGCCGTAATATGGAAGCATCTCCTCTCTGCCCTCGTACCACGTCAGCTCGTCAATCATCTGACCAGCCTGCAGAGCATCCCATATGTCCATTACGTAGTCTTGGCAATTCCAGCCTAAGCCCTCCCCCGGAACCTGGATCATTCCAATTTGCTGGACGAGTGTGTCCCACCAGCCTGGGTGCATCTGACCTAAGAACGTGAGGGGCTGGTGGCATCTCTCGGAGTTTGTTGGGTTTGTTTGACGACCCTCAGGCCTGAAGGGACCATCTTGTTCATCCTGAACGACTTGGAAGAGGTGCCACTGGCTCGTCGCCTGATTGTGGGTTGCGAAGGCCCAGTGGTAATAGTTGCCAAAATGTGGTGTATAAATCGCACAGTAGAGGTCAACAAGTGGCTCTTGATGTTTGGCCTTCTTCTTGTCCTTTTTCTCGTCCTTCTTCTTGTGCTTCTTGGTCGATCTGTCCTTCGGCCTGTCTTTGGTTGCCCTATCCTTGCCCTTTTCTTTAGTGCTTGACCTGGATTTCCGGCAATTGCTCGCAAGAAACGACATTGGAACGACTCCGAGATCCCGAGATGCAGTGACAGGTGAGGGCTTGGGGTGTCAAAATGAAGGAGAGACTGCTCTCGAGAAATTGTGTTCTGAGCTGTCGAAAGGCTTGGATCACGGCTGCCAAACGACAGATCTCGAAACGAACAGCATCTTTATACTTGATTTCTGACCGACGCCTCCATCAGGCAACGATGACTGTCTGGTATCTTCTAACAGTGGGTGTCCTAATGAAGGATGTGGTCGCGCCGTCTCTAAGCTTCCCGAGTGGTCAATCGCCATTCATCGGCCTGTGAAGCTCGCTGACTGCAGGGCATCTATGGCGGGGTGGGAACCTTCGCCGCATGCCTGCCTCTCCGTTTTGTTTTCTAAACGGGTTGTTCACATACCTCGTGACTACAACATCACAAAGTACGAGAGACAGTTTTGTCATGCCTACCTCAAAAGCCTTTGTAGGTAGTACATTGAGCCCTCTAGGGATAACGGCTAAGATTTGACTTGACAATGTGCTCTGCGTTCAGCGGATTTCGACTTCATGGGCATGGCTGAGATTAGGGACTCGAAAGTATATGTACTGGGAATTTGTACTCCTTCACCGGGGCTCCGTTTCCTCGGTTTTAGCGACCGTTGGCGTATCACTCCTGTATACTGACCAATAAGATCGGCTCAGGAAGAGATGATCTCATTTACCCCACATCCAGCTCATAACAAAATCTACATGCTGTTGTTTGTGGAGCATTTGATTAGCCGCCCAAACCGAGACGCCAGCGACCTGGGATTACTCACATGAGATGCTGAGACACGTCAGGATGGCTTGCCACTACAGGTAGGGCACGGAATGCCGTTCACGATGCCTTTGCCGTTGCAGGTTTCGCAGGGTTCCCTTTGAGACATTCTTGGTTTTCGGCTTTGAGAGCTCAATTCGAAGCCTGTCGAGAGTTTATCGAGTGGACAGAAGGGTGCGTTAGTTGAGCTGGACAGTTGTAATGTTGGCCCCAAGCGATGTCCAGGGCATCACGCGGTATTTATCCCAGTCACTTAGCGATCACCTACCAATCGCCACATGGCACACTACGTGTTGCCGTGACAGACCCATCGGCCAATTAAAATGCCGTTGCCTCTACGGTGCCGTCATTGGATACAAATGCTGCCCGCCCCCAGGTCTGTTGTTTCCAGCGTCTGCCTTCAACCTCTCTCCACGTCAAATACTATGTCAGGAGAGACTCGCCAGTATCGTCAATGCACGTGTTCGGCCTCATTCGAAACGGAACACAACCTATCTGAACATATTGAGGGCATTCGAGTCCGTATCCCTCACTACTGCGCCTTCTGAACTGACATCCTCCAGTCCTTAGAACGCCGGTTGGAAGCCGAAATCGAAAGGTGCCGAAGTCACGTCAAAGTTGACGACAAGAACGGCCCGGACAATCACGATGGGTCGGATGATCATGAAGACAACTGCTATGGCGAGTGCAAAACGATCCAACATGCGGGTACAAGGATGGGAGATGCCGCCGGAGCGCATCGTTGTCCAACGTGTGAACGGTCGGAACCCTTCAAAACCAGACAGAGGCTTCGGCGGCACTTTTGGCAGCGTGAGCCCCATCCTACTAGACCCTACTCGGTCTTCAAATTGTTCCTTACACCGTTCGTCTAGATGTCAGGTGCGAGGAGGTCTGCCCATGCTGTTTCAAGGTTTTGGGGCTCGCCAGCGAATACATCAGGCATGCCGAGAAGCATCCCCAAGCAAGTGGGAGGAAAAGGGACTTCATCGACCGAACATGCACTGAATTACGCGAACGTGCCTACAAGGAACTGGACGATGCAAGCCGCCGAACAGCAAAAGGAGTAACTGAGAGGAAACGTACTGCAGATGTTGCGAATTTGCGCACAGAAGCACCACGAACCAAGAGAACCCACCAGTTCACGGATGATGGGATTAGTGGAGAGACCCCTCAGCTCCGAGGATGCAATGGTATGGCGCCCTTTTGTCCCTCAACTCGGCTGACAAGCAACTAGTTGCCCCAATGGGTGTGACCCCAATGCGGTCTCCTCTGCCGTTGCTACCAGTACCCCATGCTGTCGAAGCAGTGAATGCGGGCGACTACCTCAGCATGTATGGAGATGTGTTTGAATTCCAGTCCACGAACGCTTTGGGCTTGGTAGAGGAGTTCGATGCTCCTCTGTTGCAAATCATGAATGGTATTCCTACAACATTCCAACAAAATGGATGAGGATGTTGAAAGAGAGCCAAAAGGAGGATTGAAACTACTCTTGATGACCATCAGCCTGCGATTTCGTTGGGTTCTTCGAAGTCAAAGTTGAGGTCTATGTTTGGACGTCTCATGTCGGCAACCTTTCGTTTTAGGTCTTCGGAGTTAGGGAGGACTATCTTTGCCCACTTCGCGACCACCTCCTCTGTCGCGAACAGAAATGTGATAGCATATCCTTCCTTGATTTCAAACCCGAGGCGGGCATCTGCAATTATGCTAAAGAGTTAGGCCAAAACTCACGCTGCTGGAGGACCACTCACAGGCCGCCAACCGGGAGGTCTATTGGTTCCGGCTTCAAGCCTACGCGATCCAGCTCCGACGGTAGTATTTCGTTGAGAGATCTTCGGCTCCTAAAGGTGTCCATCTTGTGAAGGTGCGAACGGGGATAGTAGTCTAGTTGCGAACCTGCAGCCCACAACTGCACCATCAAGACGCGCCGGCCAGCTTCCAGCCCACCTCTCCTAAAGCATTCGACGTGGCCAGGATATTCTTTGTATCGGAGCCAGTGACCGAGGCGGCATCTCTCGAGAGATTCTTCGAGAATACTTCTGATACGCTTCAAGCGGTTAGAGGAGTTCTGTGGATGCTCTCCGGATAACTTGCCGCGTCGAAGGCGAATTGATTGCAAAAGTCCAAGCCATATTCTGTAAAGTACCGGAAGTGATTGCGCTCCATCGCAGCGATTCGGTCGCCCGCTAAGGGCTCGTTTAAATCATAGAAGCCTTTCTCGTGGATTGACTGCAGCGCGTCCTCCAAGTTGAACGGGGTCGCCGCCATTGCGAACGAATATGTGACGCCTGACTAATGCTGGTGGTTGTTGGGGGCGTGTTGCGGACAATGATGCCCAACAACGCGGGGCATTTCACAAGCTCTCGGATCGCATGTCTCAGCGGCTCAAGCAACTTTAGATAACCGGGGTTTATCCGATAGACGCAGACGAGGCTACCGTTTCAAGACGGTGACAGAACAAACGGATCGACGGCGCTCTGTTGTCATGTCAGTGCAGGCACCACATTTGTGTGATCCAGTTGGTCCATGGATCACAGTTCCGTGATACAGCCGAATCACCCACCGATCAGTGATATCCCCCATTGACAGCCCCATTGGCATTGTTACATGGATCACTGGTCTGTGGTGCAGGCGCACCACTGATCTGTGGTACCCCTTTCCAAATGTTGGTATGTGGAACACAAACCTGTGGTACACCTTGTGCAGGGATCGCAACTCTTTGACGACCGGCCGGCCGGATGCAAGGCTCCACTAAACATTTGTTGCCGATCAGGCATAGTCCTATCTACGACCCGGAGGTACTTACACATGTACCTTTGCAGAATCTTCATTTGATGCATTGTTTCTAGTCACCGCCCCGGTAGTATTCAAATCGTTTTACTGTTATTGGTAACTGGGCAATGGTCTCCCGGAAGTGACTGCTGGAAGTCTCCTGTTGTACCACTTCGTTCAATTTCGTGGTGACGACATTCTTCTAGAGTCCGTACCGCTTATTGCATGTTCAGGCTACTATTTTGTCGGATAATAGGGCCCGGCGCATCATTGATTCATATATGCGGGTTGTTGCATGTATAATACCTCCATGTAATGCATTCCGATGACTAAAAGGGGGCAGCGTGCGACGACATCAGCCTCGTCCCTAAGGCCCTGTCTGGCATCAACGTATGCTACATCACTGCTGCATGATACCTGAGGTCGCAACCAAGACACGTCTGAGCAGAGATGCATTTTTTTTTTCGAGCAGAATCAGCATCAAAACATACTGGCTCAGTCACAACAAGTCAGATAGATCCGTTCTTTCGACCACTTCGTCATTAGTGAACACAGCACACCATCCTGCAGCCCGCTAGGAAGGGTGAAATAGTTGGAAAATGGCATGCAGCAGCCATCCTAATGGAGTGGCTGAGGAAACGTGGTGTCAATCGCAGGATCGCGGTTCATATTGCGTACGGTTCGACTCACCGCCTGCGTGAGGCACAGCACTCGTACGCCTCATTGTATGGATGGCTTCGAGTATACCCCTGGATGGTTAAGGCGTGCTCCTGGTGAGCTGTGTTCCCCGGGGACTCTCTCAAAGTAAAGGCCGCAGGAGTGCTCCGCTGCCCATCAACCTGGAGGGATAAAACGGCGCTAAATTGGCTATAAGAAACACATCATACTTAATTAAACACCAGGGCCTCCTCGACACCCTTCTAGAATCTCAATAGATGAGTAAGTGCAGTGTCCGTCGTAATTGCAGCACCCCTATGCATAGGATAATAAAGAAACATGGATCCCAACACAAAGCCAGACCCCCGAGACCTTGTCAAGCCTGCTGGCAAGGGCGTAGGCAAATCGAACAGCTCAGAAGACGCCCTGACTATCGACGAAGATGCAATCTTTAGGAATGCTTCGTGTTTTGGCAACGAAGACGGAGGCAAGGATAAGGATGGTGGTAGTTAGAAGAAGTAGATAACTTGTAGACGTAAAAATATGAGACGGCTGTGATAGTATGCACGCTGACTGCGTCTTTCCTGCCCTAAAGTCGAAGCGAAACCATAAATCGTGAAGAGGCGTTGTTACTATTAACTTATATGGCGTGAAGCCTGCGACCCTTCAAAATAATAGACGGCATTCTCGGGCACTTAAAAGGAAGCGTGGGTTCTTGATTCTAGCTACGCGACTTCACACCCTGTCTTCATTGCTAAGCAATACCATACTGCTCTCCGAATCCGTCAAGAGTTTTACCATATGGACCTCGCTCTATACTTTTATTAGTCGATTATAAGCACCGTGATCGTTTGAGATGACTAGGCACTTACCTCTCAGCTTGTTCCGATATACGCGACTCGTCATTCATATTGTTGCCTACTTCCGATATGCCTCCGCTTTGCCTCCGATCTCTCTATTACTTAGGCTAATTAGCATGACGGTGGTCTTTCCTTATGTAGTGATAAGATAGCTATGTTTATTAGCGGGCTTAAAACCTACATTAATGCTAGGTATAAGTGTATATCGATCTACGTGCCTTCTACTAGGCTTAGTGCAAGCCGAGGCGAACTTATTCGTTTTAACGCAAAAAGATCTAAAAGGTATACGTCTCTTATATTACCTAAGCCTGCAAGCGAGAGCAGCTTAAACAGCCTATAGATATGTCAGGGGACCCTGCGGGTTCCCTGCGGAGTCGCCAAGCAGGTGTCGGTCAGGGGGGCTAAGGGCTACGAGAAACATATATATAGGTTGCGGAGGGCCCTCGAAGCTGCGGATGGCCAGATTTCAGGCGTATTCCGACCCCCTACCTATCTTCTATCTGCTGCGGACCACGTGCGGAAGACCTCTTCACTCTGCTCTAACCCACGCCCCGACAAGAAAGCATCCTAGACTCTAGAAAGAAAGCTTAAAAAATTATCGTCTTTGTAGATAATAATAGTACTTTCCCTTATAGTATCTATGGGTAGGTTCTTATCCCTTTCGAGAACCCCTAAGTCGGAGGTGTTAGCACTTGCTAGAGAGCTAGCCGCATTAAGGCCGGCATAATCATATAATTTATCATGAATTGGACCTTCGCGGACAATATCGAACGACGCTGCGTCGAAAACATAGCCACTATGGCGATCGAAAAGTCGATATCTTGCCTCTCTGGCCGATTAGCAGCGTTCCGGGCAGTGATGGTGCAAGATCGACATTTCCTTGATGGCTCAGTATCAGAAACCTGAAATGGCTTGAAGCTGAGGGCGGATGACGATAACTTTTGGACTCGATGTCTTCTTAAGGGAGGCCGGGAAATTGCACTTCAAAATAACGAGCAGTATCGGGTCGAACCCACCTTAGGAATGACTGCACCTAAGCTCCGAAGATTAATAAGGTAGTAAAGAAGTAAGTTAAGGAATAATGCGAAATTGTAAAGGCGTATCTCAAATTGGCAGTGAGGACAACTAGCAAGAGTGTGAGACCTGCTGACGACGAGAAATAGGAAATTTCCTTGGGCAATCTACTCGATTTACCTATCCGGGTTTGTGGACTACGGTCTGCTGATAGATATTGTATCATGGTTGCTATATTAGAAGGCTACTGCCAATGGCCCGTCTCAGGACACTCTTAGGGTAGGCTTCATTTCTACGTAGCTCTTTACTCAAACCGTTAAAGAGGATCCGCCTGTTTCGTAGAGACTTGAGAGATATCCTGTTCCTGCCTATTTGCATTCTTGGGGCTATTTCTTTGACTTCATTAAGCTATATGCGTTAATAACTGGCGACGAGGTGAGACGCTTCTACGGTACTTATTATTATTCTCGGCTTATACGGGTAGACTAGGTAGTAAACGATATACTGGGCTTAAATCTTAGGGTTTGGAGGGGCGACCTAGCATTTGAGATATGGTTACAGCTTTATCTACTTTAGTATAGCTAGTAGAGAGACTTCTAGGGAAGCGGTTGTATTTTCTTTAGTCTATAATGACTACCGAGAAAGAGTTCAAGAATGCTAGGACACCTGCGGGTGCATTCATACCACTATTATGATTATACCCCAGTCAAATATGAGAAAGGGGATCGATTTCTTATGCCTAAGATAAGAGACGGTTAACTTACGGTCTAGCCTTAGCGATCACGTAATAATGAAGACTCGGTTAACTCGTCCCTTAGGCGAAACTAGACGTAATATGGATACTATGATTAGCGGAGGTGTGTTATATCGAGGGTAATAGTAGGGCTTGTAACTATTTTTGCGCTTCATGTGACGGGGTAGATAGATTTTTCACGTCCTCGGGCTTGAAATATGAGATAACGCGATGCTCCGTGCTACTACGGGTAACGGTAATAGCTATCCGAGTTATAGATCTATCGTAAAGAGTCGTAACTGACCGATTGTCTATTAAAGCTGGATAGCCCTAGTTGAAATGATATCTCTAGGGTCCGGTTACGTTATCTTCCATAATAAAAGCAGAACCGCTTCGGATTAAGAGATGAACTTGGTATCAATAAGGTCCTCTAGATGCGTGAGCGAATTTGCCCCGAATATAACTATCTATGAGAAGTGTTGTATTCTCCTCGGAGCGGATGTAGCCCTTGAAAGTGGGTTTAAGCGGGATCGGGGGGCTGGATGGCTCTATTTAATACAGGTATCGCCGAATAGCTTAGAGTTTGGGGCTGTATTTGTGACAAGGAGTAGCTCGCTAGTGATATGAATCGTTGCTTAAGCTCACTGAAACTCAGGCGGGCGCTAGGAAGGATTTTATGCCTTGAAATCTATTCCTCCCTCTTTCTGATCCCTGCTGAGATTCTCTCTATTGGGGTTGCCTTTTAATACGATGTGCGGCTGATATAAATGCTTCCCTAATTCGATAATGGGGTGAAGCTTTGAGGATGGTGTTAATCGCTCTATGTATCTAGGTACTAATTGCGGGTGCTTGGTCGGTGTGGTTGTACTGTAGGCTAACAACCTGGCGTCGACGTACAGGAATCAGGGTCGGTGGGAGGAGGCCGAGAAGCTGGAGGTAAAGGTGATCGAGACTCGCAAGACGAAGCTCGGGGCCGACCATCCCGACACGCTGACCAGCATGGGCAATCTTGCCTGGACTTGGAACGCCTTATGTCGCTACGACGATGCGCAGGCTTTGATGCAAGACTGAACTACACGACAATGACCTATTTCTTTTGTCTCCAATTTGCATGATTGTTTCTATGTGATATGGGCCATTACTGGCCATCTTCTTCATGTTGTCACGGTGACATAATTGCGATCCAGCTGGATAAATGCATATGTCTCACATATGCAGTTTGTAAGCATCAG